TCCTGGTGAGTTTTACATTTGGTGACGATGAAGGCCTCTTCTCAGCGGCCGCCATATTGGTCGCCGGAATCTTACCACCGACGAGGCAGAAAATGCCTCCAAAAACCACAATAATAACAAAAAACAACAAATATAAATTACTCACGTAAAGGGTAGACACACTATATACAACTGTGTAAAAACACGGGCGCACAACGAACGCAAAAAACGCAAAACAGGCAGAAAATCGGGGAGCGCTGAAAAGCACCGCGTTCACCCGATTGTATTGTATTGTATTGTATTGTATTGTATAATCAATGTTTAACGCCTTGTTTCAAAAACCAAAAAATATCACTCATTCTAATTATAATATGTGACAACGTGAGTAAACAATCGTATTAATATTTTATTTTCATCGAAGGTACATGGTTCATTTTCAAGGATGTTTTGTGCAAAAAGTCGGAACCCTTTTTCATATTAATCTTTTAGAAAAACGTACGCATCAAATTATGTGTGTTGGTTTTACGTAAAAATGTCATAACTCGATATAGAAGTGAAACATCAGTCACGATTGCCTCCGGTATATCATGACCTTCTTCACTTTGGCTTTGTTATTTCCGGAGTTCACGTTCAGACAGGTCACGGATATCTTAAAGTCCAAACGATCTTGCGCCATAATCCGCAACGTTGTCCCAGGGTACTGCTGTCAGAGGCTTGAAATATCGGTCCGTCAATGAAAAAGAGGTTTTGTTTTAATTAACTCTATTCGATTACGATTTGGAGTTATTTGCTCATTCCGTGCATATTATCTTAGAAAACAAAGGTTCCCGAGATTTCACGGTGCAAACACGTGAAGTTTCAGTCTCCCATTAAAACAATACACAAAGTGTTTAATTAAATCAATAATTGTTTAATAAGCGTAAAGTTCGTTTTAATTTACATAATTGGATTGCCATGACATTCTATAAATTTAGCATAGTGTGCAAGTTAAAATATATCTATTCAAATATCCTTGCTATAAATAAGTATGCAAATGCGAAGGTTACAATCCACGAACAAACAAACTCACTGGGGCGTTAAATATTCTGTAAACAGTTATCCACAGAAGGATGCATGGATGTTTTACAACTTCTAAAAGCTTGAGAACATAATAAATGCTGACATCATCATAGACATACCAAGACTTTATAAAACTCATATTGTAAACTGAATAAATAATGTTTCTAATACATGTATATACAATTTTAATAATAATCTACTTTTCGTATATTAATCAATATACAATACATTAACAAAACAAGTCATTGAGGACGGGAATTATACTATCTTTGGTCCTGGAGGTAAAGTGCTGCCTCCTATATTCAATACGTTTGAAATGTACAAGTGGACATCCACGATGTTTTAAGGTAGGGTGGATACGTGATAACAAAACATATTTGCTTCGAAGGTTTGATACAATATATATATTGTTTAACTAAATGAAGTAATATATGAATGGTGGGTCTCCCATGGTACACATTATTGAATTGAACTGTAGAGGACTTAACTCCCTTCTTTAATGTCATCACTGTCTGTTTTTAGAACCTTTGACGTCATCATTCGTTGTCTTTCGGAGCGCTAGATGTCATTTATATAACTATATTTCACAAGATGAATTTAAGACCATAAGAGGGAGATCCACCATGCACAATTTTTAATAGACTTCATTATTAAAAATAGTCGCCGGTAAAAATAGATCTAAATATTCATATATAATTATAAACACACTATTGAGTCTATTGCTGTGCTTATGGTCAAAGTCTTAACATAACCAGATGTTTTTTCCCCTATTTCGTTACCAGTACATAAAAAAGTATACACATTTTGTGACCTTTGTGAGAGAATTTGGTGTTTCATATTTTAAAATGTTAAGAACACCGCCATATCAAAATACCGACGTGTATTTCTGCAATCATTAACATGAAATTGAGAACCGTATCTCTCGCCAATCAACTGTGAGCGCTCTGAAACACGCTAAGATCAAATGGTCAGACTATCGTATGCTTGACTGCTGTATATTTCATTGCCCTTTGACAACAAATAAAGTGACTTTTTAATATTTTTTCACTGAATTAGTAATACTGACTATTGAACACTGATTTGCGGTGATATAGTCTGTCTGTTGTGGGAAACACAACGGAAAACGGCGGAGTGTTTTGGTTAGGCTGGCGCCGTGCGGACGTCGACCGTGAATAAACGGGTAAACACAATGACTAAATTAGTAGCATAAATATTTTAAAGGCTTTGCAGTTAAAAGGATTTGTCACTGACAAGTCATAAGAGCTTCAATGTAGACCAGTGGGATCAACCGATCCCGATGTATTTAGATTGTAGAAAAATAAGAGTACAAATCTAATATGACAGATGATACTAAAGCCTGACATTTAAGGTCATCGCTGATTCTGTTTGTTATTTGTGTTATTTACATCGCATAGTCTAGATATAATCTCACATATCTATAGATTTATATACATATGTGAAATAGAAATAATAATATATTTATGATACATTTTGAAAATATGTTTTTGGGTTGTAAAACAAAAACAAAAAAAACATTATAATGAATCACATTACAAAAAGGTTACCACATTAACAGAGAGCTAGTTACCAGAACGTTGACGTTGTTCGGGGTCGTTACGAAAAATGTTCTGCAAAAGGAATGTATATATTTTAAGTCATTTTTTTATAATCATATATTTTACATACGTATGTCTTAGATTTGGCGTTAATTAGTTGAAAGTGTGTAAAAGTGACGAATTTGTGTAGACGTTATTATTTATGGGAATACAGTGAGAATATATAATAGTAGATTCCTGTTACATCTTGGACGGTTTACCTAATTGGCGTCGAAATGAGCGCGGGCGCCTTTAAAGGTCGTCGGTCGTCGCGCAGCGCGTGTTCGAATTTCATGTAAACAAATTATGTATTTTACATGCGTTGTATACGTCACTATGAATCCCATATCGAACAGGACGCGGCGTGACGACTACCGACCTTTAATTTGGTGGTATCATGACGTTGCAATTCAGTGTGAAATATTAGTTATAATTTACAACAAGTTGTTAATAAATTGTCCCGGGAAGATCAAAGTATTATTGGGTGTAACGTAACGCTCGTTCCACTCTATTATATCATGGAGTCGTGAAAAATCATTGCACAGTACGAGTCAGAAATCGAGTCACTTCAAAGGACATCAACATCAAAGTAAGCAAGACGATCCATCTCGTCGAATGTAACGTCGGCGACGCGTTGCAGAAATCGGCATCGTCGCAACAGTGAACGCAGACGCCAGTGAGGTTGGCGTTCATACATGTCATGATTTCTGTGCAGTTATAATGATATAGACATCCTCGGGTAAAACTGGTGATCTTGCCAGCGGAAGTCTGCTTCGTTTGCTGTAAAATACAAACAAATATTCTGTTAAAGCGGGAGGATAGTCACCTGCGCACGCGCGGGAAGTGAGTTCCAGGCGATGATAACAACACACGCTAAGAATGCAAAGGCTCATGGGTACACGCTTGTTTGTAAACAGTGACACGCTATAGTCACCTGACGCATGCGTAGGTGACGACTCCCCCGCTTTAAATCATCACAGTCGTCGAATTGTGTTTGACGCAATTTTGTTTACACGCAATTCGACTGCGCTACCCGACGATAGTGATGCTCCAATTATCAGAGTTTAGATATGCATGAATACTTTTTGAGCAATAATATAAAGGGCACCTCTTAGAATTATTTTGTAAATCTACGGGGAATTTCCAAGCTGCACAAAAAGTACGCTACATCTGAGAAAAATAGCGCAGTGTTATTTCAATAAACAGTATGGTTTTCATTAACGTAGTCTGATCCCACTCTCGTGACAGCTATAATGAAGAATGTAATCAAATACCATCTTATACTCGTAACCATGGTTACCAAACGCGCGATTTCGCGTGTGAGTGACGGAGCTTTTGATAACGATTTACATCGTCTAATCTGAACGCTGTGACGGTTGTTCTCTGTGCAAGTATTTGTTTCCTCCAGTTAAGCATGTGGATGGATGCACTCCTGTAACTGTCGTTCAAAGGAGGCAGAAAACGTTTTGAAAACAAAGACGGTAGCGTCTGAATGTGCTTTAAAAATAGAATGCCAAGAATATGTGTTTACAAAACTGTGCTGTCCCTATGGTAACAAATCATTCGTATTCCTAGCGACTAACACTGCGGATATATAGTATTTATTTGGATTGCAATTGCATTCTTTATTAAGCTGACAGTTAATACCTCACCCCAAGTTCAAGGTCGATGTTTCCTGTACTGGTTGTAACAAAACCCCATTACACTATAATTTCTCTCGTTATGTCGGATAACCTTCACACCCGAAAAATTGCCATGGCAATGATATATGTCACGCAGGAATGTCTCAAATACAAAGTAATATACGTCACGTTATTCTCGAGTCCACACAAATCCATGGTATTGTCCTGTTTATATATGAATGGACAGATCAGAGTCAGAGAGCTACAGACAAACATGGAGCATAATAAGGGTCTCTTATTCGTAAACTAGAGCGTTACTGTGAGTGTCACATGCTGACGGCGATTGAAATCGCAGAAATAGAAGCAATTCTAATTTCCGATGTGGAGCGATGATAATGGAAGGAAATACCCATGAGGCACCTTGTTTTATCGTAAATAGACAAAATTGTCGACCCTGGAGAGAACGGTCATTTACATTGAACAGCTGAAAAGAAGTTTTCTGCAAACTTGAGTTCGAATATAATTATTATTATAATTATTATTATAATATCTTTACAGAAAGATGTTTATTTCTGGACGAGTAAGGGTAACGTAAACAATGTTGTGGTGCGCAAATCAACGGGTAACGCCAACTGCAGGCCTCGTTAGTCGGTTTTTACTATAATTTAAATATTTACGTAAGAAATAGTACAATAGAACCTCATTAATCGATAGGTATTCGGGAAATTCAATTGATATTCGGTTCTCGTGTTCGAGGCGTTTGCAAACTGATAACGATTTATCGTAAAACATAAGTAAAATGGTGGCTCCGGGCATTATACACAATCGATTGGAATGGACCATTATTCTAATTGTATGAGGACTACAAGTACTTGCATGTCTTGGATATTCTTGGGGGAGGGGAGGTAATGTTGTGATATAATAGATAATAATATATATGCGGTTATTATATATATGCATGCTCAAATTGTGTACGTGGGTTTAAGCAATTTTGTATATTACCTTTGAACTCAAAATAATTATCCGAATGTATATATTCAATTGATGTATTGCTGTGCTATATTTTCAGTGTGATTTAGTTGTAGTTTGTTTAAAATATATTATTGTGTTGTATTCAAGTTGTATGTGTGGTAATTGTAGTTTATTTTGAAAAGCTTCCATTCTATTTTATTTTATTCTATTCTATTCTACTTTATTCTATTCTATTCTATTCTATTCTATTCTATTCTACTCTACTCTATTCTATTCTATTCTATTCTATTCTATTCTATTCTATTCTATTCTATTCTATTCTATTCTATTCTACTCTACTCTACTTTATTCTATTCTACTCTTCTATTCTATTCTGTATATATGGCTCCTGCATATATATTATAGTCGTTATTAAGTAACAGCACTGAATTTATACCATAGCTAGAGTATGGAATTGACATAACGATCTATTCCAATACCATAGAATATCCGGAGGCTGAATGCCATTGTTTTCTTCGATTTAAGTACTCTGAAATCTGACACGGAGCTTACCTTATGGCGTTTATAATAGATTTAAGTGGTATCGATAAAACACGTGTGCAGTAAATATTCTAGTTTATTATGAACAGTTTTGTGAATGGCGACCGCGGCTGTTGAAACAAAACTCTTGTATACAACCTCACTGGTTGTTATTAACAGTGAATAGACCTTAAATAGTGAGTCATACAGTACAGTTTTAAATTGTGTTGCAGTTTCATTTAATTTAATTTGGAATGATTCATCGAAATATAATATGCACTCCACGTACGTGTAGTAGATTCTAAAATGTCTCGTTCTGCTGGCAATTGCAACCAATGTTATAATTCAATTTTCTGATAATGTATTCGGGTGTTATATTAATCTGGAGTACTTGAAATGTGATTGGTATACGTCAATTAAACCGAAACTGTGCTCTTGTTCTATGACATTTGTCTGCATCAAATGCTACAAAATATGGAGAAAATTATTTGGTAATTTACATAACTGTAAGCTGTGAGGTGCACTTATAATCAGTATTGTTGTTGTTATTGTTGTAACCGAGAACACGTAAATCGTCATATTGTTCGGAATATTGTCTTCAATTGATATGTCTGTCTGTATGTTCGATCTTTTTGCAGTACATTGTGAATAGTGATACAGTATAAGATGTAATGTGCAGGGCAGTGATGTAGTATGAGATTTGATGAAATGCGATTTGATGTATTGTGCAGAGCAGTGATGTAGTATGAGATTTGATGTAATGTGCAGCGCAGTGATGTAGTATGAGATTTGATGTAATGTGCAGCGCAGTGATGTAGTATGAGATTTGATGTAATGTGATATACAGAGCAGTGATGCGGCATAAGAATTGATGCGCAGTGCAGTGATTTTGTGTAATGAGATTTAGTACAATGCATCACGGTTACTTTTTTAGTAACCGTGAATGCATGATTGCAAAAGTGCAGCGCAGTGCAGTGTTACCAACTGCAGTGGAAGTGTAAACGCAGTGATCTAAAATGGTGCCTCCTCGACCCACGGGTCGCATAAGTAATCAAGTCGGTTCAATCAATACAACCATTACTGACACGTCATGGATCATCAGACGGCAAGATAAAATAAAAGAACGATTGTGTTAATTGGTAGTTCAGGCTGAGTGAATTGCCATCAATCATTTAATATCCGCGTTGCTATCGGCAGAACTATTTTTTCAATGGTGTCTTATATTGACAAGATAGTGTCACATTTATATCCAGTTTTCGATTTCTGATAACAAAAGGCTGTGTGCTTTGAAATGCGAGACCGGGAAATTATCAGAGTTTTACAAACAAAAGAAAACTGACGCAGCAAAATAACTACCACATCTAACCAAACATGGCCCAGATTAAGCAGTTTATGCAGAGTGTGCGTTGAACACGATGTCTTCAAAAGTCCAGTTATTAGTAGTCAGGTCGCGTATTGGTCACTTAAAGTAAATCTACCACATACAGACGAATAAAGAACATTATCTCAAATTAAAAATACTGTCCCAAGAGAAGCGACAGTATCAAAACGTGTACAAGGACTTGCCGAAGCGGTTAGACATTTGTAATTCGTTGGTGGAAAGATAGTAAATTTAAAAAAAAAAAATCCTACAGAAAATATTGTAATTAAATATCCACTTAAAAAATAGACATCGATAAAAAATCACATTTGAAAAATTGAATACGAATAAAAAAATAATAAAAGGTAAATAAAGAAATAACCAGTTTTGTTACTACATGTGAACTTTGAACCCGTCAGCAATAAATTTCAATACGAACCGTGTGCAAAGTTCTCCCAGTTAGTATGTTACATTTATGTGTGGTTTTACAATACCACTTCAGTGTTTGTGCATTTGTGCAGTAACTAACTGGCATACAATGAACATAGAGCATGGTTTAGTCGCAGTCACTGTTGAGAGACCGTGACGTAGTTGTATTGACACCGACGATATAACATTGTGTTATACTTAGTATTGACAAGTACCGGGTAGCTAAAGTAGGATTGAGAATCTTGCAGTTGAACTATTGGACTCCTCTTTCTCCTATGGGTCAATGTGAAGCTCATTACAAGATTGTTCCTGATTGGCTAACTAACAGTCAGGCCAATCAGAGGGCAGCTTGTTTGTTGAAATTTTTTTATTTTTGATAAAACATCAGACGCTTCTCTAATTTCAAGGGAGGAATTAAATATTCTTAATCAAAGTTTTGTATAAGACATTTGTATGACACAGAAATATAGAATATAAGAGTTAGCGAACGAGTGAAAGGCAGTTATTGTTATTCATTGACAATAGAATCTTTAAAGTGGAATTCGAACCAACATAAAAACATCCGTACGTTCTAGTTGGTGAATTGTTATCCTTCTGGAAAATGAAATGGTCGTAAAAACTGATAAAAAATACTTGCAACTCGCAATTCAAAGTGATATGGTGCATAGCTGTCTGCTTACTCATGTCAGTTGTGTCGCCATAGAAACATACGCAGACGCCAGTGTTATACCCTTATCCAGACCTAAATTAAATTGTCAAAAATCTCAATAAAGGAGATTTTTTTCGGAATCTGTATTTGACATTTATCTGTATTAAATATTGACATAAAGAATCCATATTGTATGTAGGTCGAGAGTCTGCCTTGAATATTTCCACGTCCTTTTCAAGTGACATTTCACACAGACATGTTGAAAGTCGTTTTAAATTAGCATCATTTTATTTCGTGTCTGGGGAATCGCCGGAAAACATAATGACGTAGCAACGTTGCCAATCCGATATCTCTCCATGCACGGAAAGTGTAAGCTAGCAAGCGTGAACAAACGAATAAGTTCCCGCGCTGACTCGAGTCAAGTAGTTAACTGTGTGACCTAGAAATATTATTCTTTCGAACGACGTCGGTAAGAATTATGTAAAACAACTAACACCAAGGATACACAATTGTGAAATATTGATGACTTTAAATAGTTCACTAGTACTTATTATTTGAAAATATAGCGAGACTTCGGGATTGACTTGATGCTTGTAAAGCTGCCGAGAATTCGAACCGTATGCGGCAGGGTCAATTGACCTACAGATATCAACCAATATTGTAACGGTATCGTATCTACCTACGCGTACTTACCCCTCCCCCCAACAAATTATACTAATACTGGTAAATGCCAATTTATTATGTTTTTCAAAAAAACAAACAAATTGTAACAGTAATTCCCTTCGACCAATAAAGAATTGGAACGTTTTTAAGCAAACGATCCAATAAGTTGCCATGACAACGTGCGATTGTGGAATCATTCAAAGCTCAAACGTGACATTTTCGATAAACTAGTCAGCCTGCAAATACTTCTAAGAGTAAATTGAGTTTGCTTTGTTTGATCGTAGCCGACCATGAATATGTTTGAGAAGACAGCACAGGATCGATTACACGTCAGCCCCGTGTTTTTATAAGATGTTCAAAGCAATTAACGCGGCGGCAAACGCATTGAATGGAATGCGCCCCGAATTACCCAATTACTATCATGGATTAAATCAAGCCAATACGTTCTTGTCTATGCACTTTCGCTGATCGTTCCTTCGGAATTGCGTACATAGATGCAATCTCTACTAATGTAAGATGCAAAATGTCGTATTTTTATAATAACATCCTCGCGAATCACTGCTGTGTTTTTTTTTTCTTTTCAAGCTACATATGTCAAACTCGGATTCAATCTAATTCGTTTTAAACCACCCGGAGAAAGGAGTAATTGCATTTCTATTAGATTAGTTAACAGCCATGTCATGAACTGTACACTAATGAGTTTTTATTACAATGATATTGTCCTCTGTATAAAGCGTTATTTCACAATGTTGGGAAAGAAACAGAACCGCATTTAACAACGTTCAAGTCACTGCAATATGTTTAATAGCTCTGAATAAAAAAAATGAGACGGGGTTCTTTCTCTTTCGTGGTAACGTTAATAGTGTTATTGGCTGAAATGGTGGTTTAGGATTTATATCGTAATATGAAATGATTTGTTTTTCTTGCTATAATACTGCTAAATTAAACAATAGTGCATTTCACTTGGTAAAGAGACATTTGCGGAGATTTGACATATCAATCTTAATAGCGCACATACTGTCGGGGATACGAAATTTTATTGACACACAATAATATATTACTGGATGTATTTGATTTGATTGTGCCTCGACTGTACTTTGTATAACCATGGGGTTTATAGTTCCATGGTATAACTACAGGCATCCGTTGTTCATATGACTGACTTACATGACATGCTGGAAAGACTTCAACTCCGGCGACTTCTGTAGGACACTGTTCATCTGTCGAGACACTGTCTGGATTCCACATACAGTCATCGATGGACTGTGAATCGTACCCCGCACAGGCATAGCAATTTAGTGCACCTTCCTCGATAACCTCAAAGTCCGAATTTGCGCTCACCCGGGAATCTGAATAATCAACAAAAAAAGCTTGATTTGAGAAACATCACTAAAGTAAAACTAGAAAATAGATAATCAATACATGTTTGAAGTGTATTGAATTTACAGACGCTGTCTAGGTGGAATAAAAACAAAGACATGTGCTTAAATTAGTTCATTCGTTATTTGGTGCATCAGTAACAAAAATGTCGTTGCAAAATAATTGCATTGAAAATGATATGAGACTCAAGATTGAATCTGAATAAACGTATAATTACGTGTGACACCCCTACCCACCGTTAAACGCATTTATTATTTCCGTTTAAATTTTCAGAATATATACGAAATTATATTGCGTCTGATTTGTGTTCTAATGGCTCACATTCCGCAAAATGAACAATACCAACTGCATGTTGGCATGTGTGAATGCCTGAAATTCTATCAGATTAAAACTGCCAACTTGTACTATGATAAACACCATGAGTGGTCATTCTTTTTTTTGATCTAGGAATGCTATAACGAGGCGATACCGACATGCTCGCATGGGACATACGATGCCAACGTAAATAGTTATGTCGCTTTTTTTTTCACAGATTGATTGACAGCACAGCGATTGTCCGTGCCCAGAGCTTGTTACGAGTAACGCATGGATGTACAAAAGGTACAACCGTCGCGTATTCAAGGCTGTAGGGGAAAGTACTATAAAAAGCCTGTATGTCTAATTCGACAGAGTTTTGTCATTCTTTTAGTGATGTGAGGTTTAGTAATAAATTTCAAATGACACTGGTATACTAACGTTGATTAATATTGGTATAGGAATAGTGTCGCTGATTACTATGCCTGACACCATCCGCCATGTTTGTTGTTAAATCTGTTGTTCACTGAAAGCGCCTGTTATGATAAAGGGATTGTTGTTCTTGTCGCAAACATATTGACGCCAGTTACATTTACGCATTAGTAGTAGTAATAAGACGAATGTGTTTTAAAAAGCACAGAAATGATGAGATGTTAAGGGAAAACCTCGTATGTATTCCGATACTCTTTATCAATCCACGGAGTATCAGGAGTTGTATATCGATTTCACTGTTGTTTCTCTCACCCAAATTACTGCGTAATATCCCTCCAAGCACCGCAAATCCACGGCGAGATTACAACTATGCCCGCTTGTCACCCGAACTTGTCAATGTCAACTAACCAGATTATTTCTCGCTAGGGTATTGGTTTTAGCGACCCAGTGTATCACGACTTTAATCGGGTCGTATCACTGACCGGTTTTACCACTGGAATAAATGAGTACCAAGTTTTAACGGAGACAGCGTTGAAAGCAGATATAAACAACCGAGCCGAAGAGAGAACGCCGTTGAAAGATGGACAAGTGGTAAAGTGAATTAGGAATACATATGTACGCATAAAATAAATATTTTGCCGATATAGACAGTAAACAACACTGTCGAGTTTCGCCTCGCATAACTCCAAGCTCCAGTGAACGGATTATAAATGGCCGCGTTCAGTTCTGTTGTATCTGTCAGGCACAAATAAAATATCGACCCAGTCCATTTTGTTTGTCTCCGCCAATACGTAGAACCTATGAACCGAATCGCAAATACTACAACATACCTTGTAAGAATGTGGTCAAAAAGACCACTACTATCAGCATGAATATATCCCGTGTATGAACGGCCATGTTTGCTGCGTGATCTAGCTGGTATTAAAGCGGAGCAAACACATATAAAATTGAACACGCAACGATGGTCACATCTGCTGCGCCGTTGTCTAGGACCAAGCTATTGACGCTACTGCGTTCACTGCACGGAAAGTATATTCAAAAGCGCCCCTATAACGGAGGCCACAAAACAAGGTCTGGCAGTTCCATGGCTTCTGCATAATGGATCGGGTACAAAAGAAAAATCGTCGCTATAGTGTTCACTAGTTTCATTAGATCAACTGAAAAGAGACAACTGACATTGAAGACAGCAAGGCTCGATTTAAAACATAATACCGAACATTCTTCAACTGGCAACGTAACAATACCGATAAAGGTATTATTGTGACTGCGTAAAGTTTTCATATAAATAGCGCCATCATTGTCCATGGATAATAACAAACATAGACTGATGTTCCAATATATTAATTAATTCTCTGAAGGTCAATAAATGTCAAGTTTTGTCATCTTTCACGAAATAAAGCTACATATCCTTTTTGAGAAAAAAAAAAACTTAGTGCATTAAAAGTTGAGAAGGAAATACATTCTGTTACTCCCTGCAAACAAACTCGATTCAGAGTTCATCAACTAAATTCAAACTTTCACTTCGAAAACAAATTTGAAAATTATGCTCAACAAACCCAAATCATTCTAATTTACCACGTGCCCTGTTTATTTAATGAGCTTCGTCAATTATAAAATTAATTATCTGTGTTTTGTTACAGTGTGATAAATACATACTGCATTTTTACCTGTCTACATTTTCTATTGAGACACGTCGCATAGAAAAATGTTGCACGAATAATTTGACGGGGACAATTACCGTGTTCAAAGAAATATATTAGTACTCGCATGCACGTACACATGCTGCGACTGCGCAAATGGCAATTTGATTGAATTGATACAGCGGTTCCGACACACCGCAAGAGGGCACTGCAGTTAACAGTACATGTACAGCAACGCTATATCGCGTCTATATGATCTAAGCCAACTAATTATACATCGATTTGCGGAATTTGAACGGTTTGATTAATATAACATTATTACCAAACTTTCACGTCAATTATTTATATGTGACATTTTATCATAAACAATTAATGAATCTTTACTGCCTTCCGTTTGTGAATATATATTTACTAAAAATAGGATTCGAAGCAGACTAGGTAAAACGCGTTTCTTAGCTACATCACATCTACGTACATCACTTTCAATTTTATTTAAAGCGCGGTGGCCGTCGCGCAGCACGTGTTCGAATTACGTGTAAATAAATAAGGTATTTTACACGCGTTGTATACGTCGAGTCTCATATCGAACAGAGGCGGCACGACGACTGCCGCCCTTTAAGCTAGTCATTTATATTTTTTTTCAATAGAAGACAATATATGTTTAGACAAACAACATGAAGCAGAGCAATTGAATTCTATTTACTTATCTAGGAAATTTCTTGTTTGTTTTTTAATTAATGTTTGTTTTCGTGGAAGCTATTCATCTTCTGGTCAAACAAAATATTCAAATGCATATACATGTATATTTAGACAGTCGTATCTTCTGAGATCTGCAAACGTATAACTATATGTAAATATAATATTAATAATATGATGTCCGAACTAAAGACCCTAAATATAATTGTACTGATGTGACATGTCGTAGTTACGATTAAAGCAAAACGGCCGGTAATAGATCACAAATACAAGGTCTATCATCTCATTTCTACCCATACCAAGCTTTGTTTTTACGCGAATTTAATATTACTAAGTTTTTCTTGAATTGTAGAAAAAGAAAAAAATTACAACCTCACTGGTCTGTATGCAATGCAGTTGTTTCTTTGAGAGTGATGCTCTCAAAACCGTTGACTTTCACGAAAGGAAATTTGATTCATACATTCGTAAACTGCGCATGCTCTGACCGACTTCAAGTGTCATCCATGATCATAGTACTTCTGTCGTTCCTGTTAAAATGTTAACAGAGTGGACAGCATACTCTTAACACGGATATGAACACTTCCTTATGCCCTACATGGCATAGCAACTATGTCAGTGACGAATACAGGGATACACAAAAAGTGGACTGCACTGAAAAAAAAAACGAAATGACACGTTTTAATATTTCCACCAAGGACGCCCTCATACAACATAGTGTGCTTTATTTCCGTGAATTTGTTTTTATTCGTAAACATTTAGATTTGTACAAGTTTTGCTTCTCATCATCGCATGCATCAGCTGAAAACCCCTACATGCCTTATTTTACATGTAGATAAATGCGCCAAGCATGGTACATTTAGGAAACAAGTTCAGAGCATGTTTATTTCTAGGATTTATAGTCCAATGTTAATTCTCTAAAACATTACAAAAATAATGCCTGTTCACTGTTGATATGGCTCTTGTTGACACGCAAATGAACTTGAAAAAATCAAAATGAAAAAAAAAAATCTTCACAATGTTTTTTACTTTTTGGAAAGAAGGGGAAAAAACTTTTCTGTTTTACTTTGCTAATGCTGATGATTTTTATTTGTATCAAAGAATTTCTATAATTTAATCTGAAATAATATCCTGTATTTGCGTATTGCAGAATTTGGGTGAGTAAGGGACACAATTCATACTTACTAAGAGACAGAGACATTTCAATGTATTTAATAATTGTATTAAATTTCAGATAGACTGGTATTTTACAAACCATATTCATTTCTGAACACACAAATTATAAAATTATACATATGTAGATATAATTATATATAATTATGATCTTATAAAAATACTGCTATAAAATGTATTTTCAAAAAGATAAAAATGCAAGTATAAAAAAGAGGTATTATTGTGGTTAAAATATATTTCATATCATAATTTCAACAAAAAAATAATAATGAATAGCTATTAGTAGTGTATGCATTTACGTATATGACAAATTAAATATTTTAATTATCCAGTATACGACACAATAATTAGAGATTAATTTCTAATTAAGCAAATACATCATTTCTTTTCCTTTTCATTCCACAGATCAATTTGAATCAATTGTTTTTCAATTTAGACCGTCAAATAGAACCAAGGCTCTGTTCATTTTCCCAAAAAATTAATATACACACTCAATAAAATTGTCCATTCATTTGGACTTTTTATGAAAACTTAATTTTTTTCAAAAATACTGACAAAAAACACACCCACTTTTAACTGACATTCGATGACCAAAAAGATGATTATTTATATTTCTTGTGTCTACAATTATAATGTCATCCTGCTTGTTCATAAATAAAAAATGCCCGTTCACCAACATGCCAGAATTTTTACAAATCTTTCCAGTTCACAGCCATCTTGCCAGCTTTCTCAAGAAGTGCATCTGCTTTCAGAAAACATTTGCAATTCATGAATTTTTTCACCGAGAGTGGAGATGGGTGGGCAGTTTCTATCACATGGTGTTTAGTTTTGTTGATGATTTTTCCTTTTTTATGAGCAAACAATCCCCAAAGTATGAACACAACATCCTCACAATTATCGTTGATAATTTTAATTAATGTGTCCGTAAACTTCATCCATCCTATCTTTGCATGACTGTTAGATTTATGTGCTCTGAAAAAAAATATACAATACAAAATAATGTTCAACTTGTTAACTGAGGGCTTGAATCACTACACTTCATAACACCTGATTTAAAACTATGTTTGTCTGTCAGACACACACAAACTGTCATCAGATTGTTACAGTCATTAAAGTTACAAATATATTCTTGAGAGTGAGTGAGAGCCTGTTTTCTTTGTCTGTTGTGTTTATAATCTATTTGTAAAGGATAATAAATTCTGGCAACCAAAAAATTTGTACTTGGCTACTAAATTTTTAAATTGCTCACCAACAATTTGAACTTGGTTTCCAATAGCATCTCTGGAAATAATTAAACTTTGAGGGCTACACAAGTAATCCACAAACAAATCTGTATTGCCTGAGTGCATACTTTGCGATATTCTTGTAATACCCTTATTATTATACATATTTTACCTGCTTGTAATATACGAGGATACCTCAAAGTATGCATGAAGACAGTACAGCTGGAGTATCGTCCGACGTGCTGCGGAGGTTGATGCGCGACGTACTGTCTGAGTGCATACTTAGAGGTATTCTCGTAATAACCTTACTATTATACATCTTTTCCTTCCAAGGATACATCACAGGAATGCTGAAAACGCTTTGAACAAAATCAGCAAATTTCTTTGTGGGGAGTCCGGTCAAACCCTGGTGGCAGCCATGATTTATTTTTATTATTAGACGCTTACGTGCATAATCTTTTGCATTTCCCAATATAGTAGGATGAAAATACCGCAAAATTACGGCACCCTGTAACTTATGGCGTTAAGGTGACAGATATATAATAATGTGAATTACTTTCATTTTTAGGGAAGAAAAATGTTTACACAAATAGCACAAGTTAAGGAAAATTGTGAAATATTGTAACAGTTACTGCAACATGTGCATGTGTCAGTGCTCTGTAATTTCTGTCAGCGAAATTCTACTTGTCCTCCCATGTACAGTATGCTCCACTTAGGGGCTGGCCATTTTAAATCTGACTGAAGAATTGCCAAAATTAAAAATTTACAGACAAGACACCACAAAAAATAATTCAACTGATTGCACTGGTTACACTGATTTCAGCCACCCTTCTTGATTTTAAATGTTTGATCCCTAGACATTTGACAGAGTAGTTGAAATGAACATCCCTATATACTTACTCCACAGTAAGTGTGGCATTCAATAAAAGCACACCTTGCTCCGCCCACTTCTCAAGACAGCCATGATCTGGTTCACTGAAATCTGGATACTCAACTTTCAGTTCTTTGAAAATATTTTTCAGCGATGGTGGTTTTTTAATACCTTTTGGCACAGAAAATGACAATCCATGAGCCTGTGTGTGCAATAAGATTATGGATATTCTGCATGTAAATAAAAAGATAAAAAAAATAATTTGTAGCGTACCGGGTACATAAATGCAGAAGACTGGTACAATTATTTATTGCTGTGTTTTAGCAGTTGTTGACACGGCAACCAATCAGCATGCTCAAAAGTGCTTGTATTTGATAGGATATTGTGAAAGCAATGCAGACAAATTATATAATCAGTGGGCGTGGTTTTAGGAAAATACGATTGGTGGGTTCACTTTTATTTTTGGTGCTTCAACTTTTTTACATTGCTGCACAGATGTTTTTATTTGACAAGCTGTCTGAAAGCTAGCAAAAATATTTAAACACATGCATTGTCGGCAGCGCCTTTTTTATGACGTTTTGAAAACTTATTCAGTTTGATCAGTATTAAGTCAATTAAATAGCATGTATCACTAATTGGTTACTAAATATTTTTTTTAGACATATTTAACGATATTTTACACACTTTGTAAATGTTACATAATACCAATAGGTATTATCGGTATGCAGTAGTCTTGTGGAGATGTAGATAATACATATTTGGAAAAGTGATGTCTCATATAGCAATCAGAGTAAAATTTGATGCAGAGAGAAGCTGTGTTTGCTTTTAATTATCACCTTTCACCAAATGACTATTCAAATCATAAAAATAGCAGCAACCAATCAAAATTCATGTTACAGTCATTGGATCTATTAGAGAGATGCTATCATAATTTTGAATAATCACTTAGTCAAATGTAGTTTGTTTAGAATTAAAAGCAAAAAGAGCTTTTGAGCACATTCTAGGAACACAGCTGCACTCACCTGACCATTGTCATGGTAAGGGTCTTGACCAACAATACAAACTTTAACCTGAAAATGAATGACTATTATATAACACAGTAATCAATATACTGTAAAGGGGGTAATTATTCACTGTGTTTTAATTTAGCTTATTTCGCTGACTGGAAAAATGCGCTAAATTAAAACACAGTGAATATGTAAAATTTAGCATAGAACACATTATCTAAATGACGAAACTGTGAATTTAAAACCCACTGAATATGCCTGAAATGGTAAATCAGCGAAATTTAAACCCAGTGAAAATTAGTCATTTTACAGTACAGTCCATCATCCATACTGGGTCTTTCTAACTATAGACAGATAATAAAAACTTCATCAATTTTTTTTTATTTTTTTTTTAATTTGTGACCATGCCTGCCAGTAAGAATGACAAGGGTGCGAGATTCTCATTAACTGCAAGATCTTGGACCCAGAATTGTCTGTGCATCTTTTCTTTCAAACTGCATTCATAGCCATTGTTCAATGCCGATGATCGACTACTTCAATGTTTGCAATATTTTGTACATCGACATGCAATATGGGAATGAACATTTTGCCAAAAATATCATTGCTCTTCAGTTTCAAATTATGGGATTACCATCCTAAGGGTTTTACAAAAAAATAGTAATGAAACAGACTTATTTTTGTCTGCAATAAAGTAATTCATATCATAATATTCCACTAATGAACAAATACCACAAATTATTTAAATGCTGAACTATCAAGTTCAAACTTTTCTCTTCAAGCACTGTACAAAATTATCATTTAATAGGAAAGTCATACTAGTTGAATATATCCCTTTAAAATTAAATACTGTACCTTATCCAATGGTGTCAGATGCAATGAATTAAAAATTTGTTCTTTTGGAGGGAATATCGTCACTCCAGTCTTTTTATATTCTCCTTCCAGGTAATTTTTAATGCTATGAAAATTATTTTTCGATCTCTGGTCCGTTTTTAACATTTCCTCTATCTTAGCTTTCCAGCTCTTGTCATGTAGATACGACAACAGATCGAAATCAGACTTTTCTAGGAACAGAAAATCACAAAATAATACATGATTCTATTGCCTATAGTAATGCCAACTGATGAGAAAACACACTCTACAGTCTCTCTGACACTGAATATATGATAGAATCTCACTTCCCAGTCTAACTTGACATTATAATATTAAAATTCATCAATAGGGGACAATTATGCTCCAGTCAATGTCATCTCTGCCTCCCCAACCCCAGAAAATATTGGTCAGATCAGATGGGTTTTCTCATCAAATTTAGCCAAGGGTTTAGAGCTATCGCTATTTAAAGTTCCTATCGCAATTTGGTTCATCACTATATCAGAGCATGTGGAGCTCTTTATAAGGCATTTTAGAGTTGAAAGAAATTCTGATAACATTTTATGTAAATTCTAACATGAATTTTTTGTACTTGGGAAGATATTTCAAATTTAATGTTAATCATGATCTATGAGAAGCAGCCTTCATGACTTTTCTGATTTATGGAAATTTAGGAAGGGCAACTTGAATGAAAACCTGTGAACTAGTTTTTTTTTAATTTCTATTGTAAAGAGATTTATCGTTGTAATATTTTCTGCTATCATTGTAAAGGTAATAAAGATTCTAATTATATTATTATGTGTATTTACATGTGTATGTGTATTATGTGTTTTCTTCTGCTGAAATCAATCTGTATTTTCTGTGGATTTGCCTGATATTCTTTCATTTGTTGAAGGGCGGGAGACGTCGCGCTTCACATGTGTAAGATTTGTATCAATAAACATGGATTTTCCCACAATCCAATGCGCTCTTCTAATGGAAATCATCACAACTAGCACTAATTACCGTTGGTGACTCCTTCGATACCTTCCAATCACCTAAAAATAACTAATTAAAGCTTGGTAATGTCTCAGTTTGTACTCATTAATCTGCAGTCAAAGTCGCCATCTTTGTTTATACCGGGGTATAGGGACTCGTATATATGCATCTCGCGCATGCGTGGCCCAACGACTACCGCCCTTTAAAGTTCCCATGGCGGGCAAGATAAGAATTACTATAGTATTAAATAAAGAATTCAACTAGATCAGTTGTAATTCAATTGAGTAAACAATTTTCAGACTACTCGCTAACCATAATGGCTAAGTTTCCCTGTGTGTTTGTGTGTTTACCTGCATTAGACTTGGATGGTGTTTCGGATTTTTTGACAGATTTAGATGTGCCACGCCCACCCGGAGACCTTAGTGCCTTCGTTTCCACTTTCGGCAGTTTCTTGGATGTCGTTTCCCCAGAGCCTGAATCCAACTTGCGTTTCGGCGCCATAGTTGAAGGCGCAGTAATCTATTATAACTAGTATTTGGTGGTCTGAGAGCAGACAACGCAAACCTGATCGAAAATTTCAAATTCTGGCGCAGCAATCTGTGACCACCAAAAAATAGTTAACAGTCTTCCGCAAAAAAATATAGACCCACAACGAGTAACATAATAATATGCATTTATTAAAGAAACTTGCATAAATTATATATTTAATAGAAAACATTTTTTTTAATATAACCTACACACCCAGCATATTGCGTAACTATTCACATTGATTGTAGAGATCACCGCGCGGAGTAATTTATAAGTAGTTTGTACGTTCGTACTTTCCTCCAATACCTTTTGCGACACCATTCAAGGTCGTACCTTGCCCTACTCGCAATACGATAATGGACAAATGATATAAAGAAACAGCCCCTCTATAGATGGACAGTGTATAAAACACTAAATAATGTGATTAAAATCTGTATAAAATTTATAACAGAAGGTAAAAAAAAAAAAAAAATTTTTAAAAATATAAAAAAAAAACTATATTCGTATTCAATTTTTATCGGAATGCATTTTACTAAAGACATCTACTGTCAGATTTTTAAAAAAAATTATGCTTACTTAGAACAAATTTAAACCAAAATTTCTGCAAACGATGCAATTTTTACTCAAAACTATCTATTTCTGTAACAAAAAAAATAACTTTTTCCAACCACAAAAAAATTGTTTTTTTCCCATCATTTTTGCAGACCAAATTTTTCATGGAACAGAATTGATCATGTTTTGAGTAGATTCCAACGACAGAGCCTACCAATGTACACAACACACATAACTTAAACACAAACGTTATTTTCAATGACGTAATAATGTAATCATATAATACAACAACAAAAATACACAATTATGGAAGGTAATGAAGGTAAATTTATTTCATAGAATGATAGTCAGAACAAAAACTTAATTGATACGAATGACTGTACAGTAAATCACCTGCATCTTGAAATACAATGCCAACAATTTATAATATTTCATGCCATTTGTAGTCATTTACATAGTTATTCTTTTCCACAAAACCAGGACTACATTTTTATAAACTTTTATAAACAAGAATAGTAGCAAACAATTCAACCAATCAGAATAATTATGCATTTGACATAATAATGTTGCCGGCAGTAATTGGGCATTTTTAATTTGACTGGAGCTCATTTACAAATTTTCATAAAAATGCAGGCACAGCTTTGTGAAGATGCACATTAATATATAAAGACTTTAGTTAAAACGTCCACATAACGCCACATCAATTCCAGCAACCAGGTACACTCCTGAATGATTTGTGCTTATCATTCAGTGCCAGAGTGCCCTCGCCGAGGTAGATTTCCATTTCTTTGTTTGGGAGTTCAGGATCAGAATTGCACTATGTGTTGTCGTGTATTAAAATCACATTATTCTGGGGGAAAAAAACAAAAAAAATACAATTAATTATTAAGTTTTAATTTACTCTCTTTACTCTCAACACAACAAAGGCAATCACCCCACTTTTGTAAATGTCAAAGGCAGTTGAATCCAACTAGCCAATGAAAGAGCAAAGTGTGAAATAGCATCATTTGAAAACGTTCCAATGTTTTTCAAATAGCCAATAGAAACCTCTTGTTTCAGTATGAATTGCGAAATTTATAAATAATTATAAAGATCTAGAGAATATGTTGTGCTGTGTGTTCATACTAAAGTCACTATGACATCATTTACAGTGATGCTGTCATCCTACCTGCACATAGCAACCATATTTGAAATCTGTTAAAAATTCAGGTGAACATTTACAGACAAGTCAATTCAAGATGCTGCAATATTGTGTTCAACTAAATTGCACACGATTTTAAGGTAAACAACAAAGATGAAAAAACACTGGAAAGAAATAATAGAAATCGCACAGTTTAGATGTCTTAAGCCACATTATTACATATACGTATCGTTGCTTTGTTTTGTTTTTAAACATTTACCACGTGATAATGGAGGTATTTAAATCCACCACATTACCATATGTCAAAACAATTCTCACATATTAATATTAAATATGCTTTGAAAACAAACACAAGGTCATGTGCATCACGTATCAGCTGTTGAAATTCTGTTTACAAATTCTGTTTGAACACAAACTATTATGAGTCAAGTTTGTAGCTATTTCATTATATAAAAATGTTTTATTATTATGTATGAATACCAGTTTACCAGCTCCTGAAGTATGGAGACAGTACGTTATTTATCAACGTTGACGTGAATTCGTAGCACAGTGTCATCTGTTTCAATTTTATCAACATTAAATTGTACTTTGAACAAACAACTAACGTGCGAGACTCCATTCTGCTAGCATGCCACGTAAACGGAAGTTCACAGTGGGGACACATTTCTCGCAGTACGTTTATACAGACCGCAATAAACATAAATGACTTTGTACTTACCACGGGATGATGCCTTTGACGACTGACTCGCCTTCGACAATTTGGCGAGTTCTTTCTCTTTCTCCTTCTTCTCCGAGTTTTTAATTTGCGTCACTGTTTTTCTGACGTCCGCATTGGGGTCGGGTCGTTTGTTGTCTGCTACTTCTTTTTTTGATCTCCCCTTTCCACTAGAGCCACTGTGTACCTTGTCGAAGTTATAATGGTCATACTCATCGAATAACTGGTCATCTGCCATCCTGCTAAATTCTAACTATATTCGTTTGATATTCAATTCAGTAGAACGTGTTGGTAAAGCCAGCCACCTTGTTTTTGAAATTATCGATCACATGGTATATTTATATAGGTCATTCAGGTCAGTGTCCTAGAAATCTGATTGGTCGAGCAAGTAGTTTTTTTTATTTCATGGTTATTGCGTAAGTCTTCGGTATTGCGACATCGCAATATTTCGGGCCCTTCTTGTTTTACAAACCCCGTCCTTTCTTAGAAAATTCTTTTTCATCATGCTTTGTGTACACACATCCATTGGCAGTGGCGGTGACACAGCTGGGGGCAGAGGGGGCGGTCTCCCCTCGAAAAACATGTTGGGGCCGACAAAATCAAGCTGAAATCCGTTGTGTCAGCAAAAGTTGTAGGGAAATGCGGGAAATACCAATTCAGAGGCTCTAGATTTCAACATTTTCAAGGGAGAACATGCCCCGGACCCCCTAGTATGGCATTTGACACGCGGTTGGTGAGCTGATCTGATTGGCCACTATTTTATTATTGGTATGCTCTTGAAGAGCATAGGTCTTCAATATAGCCTAATGTTATTTCATGACATAATAAGTTTTATTTATATATTGGAGTAAGGTTTTTAATTAATAATACTCTAATTAACCTTGTCAATGAAATTTACGTTTCTGTGGTGAACGTGATAACCTCGTGTGTCTCACGAATTTGACAGCCCCGTACAGAGGAAGGACATTCTTCTTTTAAATTAACTTGCGTACTTTTTGTTATTTGTTTTTCTCACTCATAACTTTATATACGACTAGCAACTCATTAAATAGTGTTTAAACACTTGTTGATTCTGTTATTGCTTGACAGACAAATATAACGTATTGTACTTTGTACTGGCCAATTATAATATCAGATCCACCATTCTCTGTTCTTTGTCACGGTGACGGACTGTGTACTGTATATCACTATACTTACCATATATTTACTAAATTATTGATATATTTATAAGAACATAACGTATATGGATTGACTATATACGAGTAATAATATTATATCTTTATTTATAAACAAAATACACAAACCGATCACGCATTGTTTTGAAAGAAATCCCATGTTCTCCCCGAATGCTGTTATTCCTAGTACTGATAATGTTGGCCGGCGGTGCCTCACGTGAACTCTATAAATCTAAATTGTGGTATAAAGTCAATTTAGGAAACAATAGAACAAATATATATGACTTGACCCTAGTTTTGGCCAAACTATAACCCTACTCTATGCTAAATCATTCTCGCCCGCCGCGCCAGAGTATTTTTTCCGCCCACTCAAAAACCATCAGTTGTCGAAAGAGGGTGTGGTTTGCGACGATGTGCTAATTTGGCCATGCTAAAGACGTGACCTGGGAACGGTGGGAGGACATTTTTAGTGTATTATGTACTGCGATGGATCTCTGATTGGTCAAGAAAGATTAGTTTGGTTTAGTTTTTTTGTTAGATCGTCTTTGCACACTGTTATGTGGTGTTCATGGCCGTAGTTGGTGATCTAGTTATAATTAACGGAGCTGCACAAGTGGATCGTTGTATACACCATGAAACGTAGTACCGGTAGTAATTATATTTGATGTTCGCCCTCTTGCATCGTTATATGCATTTACTACGTTTTCAAACGTAGACATCTGCTTCACAAGTCACTGTTTTTCTGTAATTTAAAAAAATCAACAACATTTTATGCGATAAAACACTGATATTACAGTCTTGAAAAAAAGGGAAAATCATAACGTCACATTGTACAATAATTGTAATGTCGTTTGTATTGAAACAAAAAGCTGGATTTTACGGAATAGTTTCATGTTTGATAAACTTACATATATAGTTGGCGCCCGATATTTCAATCTTTAGATGATTAATTACGTAATTCTCATTCGGATGGAGAACGAAAAAGTATGTTGGTTTACAACATGCAGATCACAACTGTGGCGTTTACAACGTGTATATCACAACTGTGGTGTTTACAGCTTGCAGATCACAACTGTGGAATTTACAACGTGTAGATCACAACTGTGGTGTTTACAAGATGCAGATCACAACTGTGGCGTTTACAACATGCAGATCACAACTGTGGAGTTTACAACGTGTAGATCACAACTGTGGCGTTTACAACGTGTAGATTACAACTGTGGTGTTTACAGCATGCAGATCACAACGGTGGTGTTTACAACATGTATATCACAACTTTGGTGTTTATAATATGCAGATCACAACTTTGGTGTTTACAACATGCAGATCACAACTGTGGAGTTTACAACATGCAGATCACAACTGTAGTGTTTACAACGTGTAGATCACAACTGTGGTGTTTACAACATGCAGATCACAACTGTGGAGTTGACAAT